TTAAGTTTAGTTCCGTGGATCGTTTTCGTAGTGAATTTTTTGAAACATTTTTAAATGAAAGGTGAAAAAAACGATGTGAATGTGCTAAACGTTTCGAACAATTTTTTAAGGAAAAGAAACCTGTTCACATCTAGTCACAAAGGAACATCTAGTTTTTGATAAAATAATATTTAATGTTCAGGAAGACAGTAATAGTGATTTCATTGATGACAATTCCGAGTATGATAGAGATTTTTCAGGAGTTGAGCCTCTTTAAACATTTTACTCTTCTTAATTATTATTTCTTATTCCTACGTGTTTTCTAAGTTTTAAAATTTTCTTTTCTGACAATTTCTAAGGCTCTACGCTTTTTTATATATTTTTTTGGCTTTTTTTACTTAATTAGATGACTTCTAGATAATTTAAGTTCTTGGACGCACTTATATATTTTTTAGTCTTTCTCTTTCTGCGACATTTTTGCAATCTGTAAATATAATACTTTTGGGTTTATGAGTTGTATATATATAAATATGTGTTATCAATTTTCATTTTTAATACATGTTTATAATAAATTGTTTCTTATTTGTTGATAAATGACCCAAATCTACTCGGCGTTTTTAAGGTGGAGAAGAATAATTACCACTAGTACTTGGCATTGAATCTATATTGTCTCATTGATATCCATATCTTAATAACACTAAATAGTTCTGAAAAGAACTGTTCTTTATATAAATGCAACGAAAAATTTATGAATGTAAGAAATAACGCAGAAAATACAAAAAATCTTGGATATAAATTTTGAATTTTAAAATTTCACAAATGTCATTAGTGTCAATATGTCATAATTTAGTGGAGTAAACTTGCCTGCGGTTGGACCAAATACAAACAAGAATTACGGCGCGGAAAATTTGAATTACTCCTCCTGGTTAAAAAACAGACCATAGCTTTGGTAAACCGTAAAGTGTAATACTTTGGACTATACTACCGTAAATGTGTTTTTGGTTTCTCGTCGAATTGTTTTTTGCCAGAGGAGATAGTTTAGGTCACGGGTCGCTGCTCTGTCCTTGTTTATTATTTTGTCCTTGTCCTTGTTTATTATTGCCCCCCAAATATTTGCAGGATTGCACGCCTTTGATTTTGTCGTCTTCAAAGACTAGGTCACATATTTCATCTGTTCTCACTGAGAGATATTCACATTTTGTCATATTCATGTTTAGACCTGCAATCTCATATTCTTGCAGTTTTCTTACCATATAGCTAAGATCGTAGCTGTGTTCGGCAATTACTACCTTAACAGCTTAAGAGCAATACATTTATGAGAAAAATTTACTTTAGTATTTATTATGATTGTTTTATAGTAAATGTTTGCTTTAATTAAAATGGCTAATTAAATCCATCATTAAAATAATAGTAAAAGTTGCCATATTCTTGTTTATTAAACTTACCAACATTTATTAGTTATTATTGCCTTCTTTTATACTTATTTGTTTTTATTTTGTAATTTTTTGAAATAACCATAAAGGGAATTAAAAAAACTAATGAATAAAAAGCAAATGCCTGATGTAATTTAAAAAAAAACCTACCTTTCTGTATCACTTAAGATTAAAAAGAGATTAATGGATTACGTCAAAGTTAACAAAATTTTTCTTGCTAATGACTCAATACTCTTTGTCTAATACAGTTAAATAGCAAAACAGATCAAATTTTTCTTTGCTTTGTATTTAAAAACCCATTAAATTCATGACCTTCCTAATAATACTGAATTGAGATGCTGTAATAAATTAAAATAAAATAAACTTTTGAGGAAGACTGTATGTACCGTTCATCGAGCAAAAAGACAATAGAGGGAATGTAAAGGTAGTGGGGGCAAACATATTGTTAGACAGGAAGTGCGATCTTAGAGGCCACATTAAACAAGGAAAGATAGTCTCTCTCCTTGTTTGACATCAAATTTAGTTGGGTTATGTTATTGTTTGTCCCAAATGTCACATTAAATCTTATTTATATTGAAGTTTTTTAACAATTGTGTTGCATTTTAGACTCTTATCATTAATAATTAATTAAAACTTTCTCGTCTAAGACACATTCTGAAAAATATTATATAGCTACTGTTGATAAGTGTCGGAAAATTTAAATTTCGCGCATTCGCATTTCCGGATATGTCCGCCATCAGAGGCCACTTTTTTGGTCTCCTTTTCATAAGGATTAGATTCCCTCTTTTGTCTTATTGCTCGATGGTACCGTTACAATGAATTCGAGTCTCTACCTGTTCCCGTTCTGTCTGTCCTCTGCGTCGACAGCTAAGATTTTGAAACTTTTTCCTACATTTGACAAATAATAGTGTTTAACAAGTTTGGAAAATCTTTCTTATCTATTGTGGTTAATGTGGGGTGACAGTTTTTCCAATTACAAAGAGTTTCCCTCCAAGCTATCTGAAAGGGGCGGAAAAAACCGACATTAAGTGGTTGGATCAAATATGTTTTCGACCAAACATATAAAGCCCACATTGTTTTGTTATCTCCTATGATGATTTTTCGCCCTTCAAGACGTTTTGCATGTGGTAAAAAGGTCAAAGTAAACCAATCCATAAATGTCTGTGAATCTATCCATCCATGATGGGTGCGATGATATCGAGACCCTGCAGCGCGCATCTGTCAGTACAGCAAGGTGATTCTTTTGGACCATTTTCAGTCCATTGAAACCACATTTTTTCTGATTTATAAATTATATACCTATGGTGGTAACAGCAATCCTGACTCCGGAAGCACACATCATTATAGTCGTTGCTGCTTTAGTAAAATTAAAAACCAGTTCGGTTAAAACCCCAATAAATAAATAATAAAATTACTTTATATAATTATGTAAATTATAAAAATACAGAAAGCATAGTATGAAGCTTCGCGTTAGTCTACAATACCGCCTACTTTACCACTTTTTTTAATGTTTCATTAATTATACATTCTACAAAAACAAAGGATTGTTTAATAATATATAGATATTAATTTACTTGTTTCATTGCTGAGGAACAACGCTAATTTGATTCTTTTTAATTTTTCAGTACATCAATCGATGCACCAAAAATAGTACCCATGTTCCCGGCCTACTACATATTTAATGGTCTGCTAATATTATTGTTGTTCCTTCATTGCTTTTGGACTTACTTAATTTTAAAAATCGTTCACAATTCGCTGAATGCAGGCCAAATGGAAGGTGATATCCGCTCGAGTAGCGATGACTATAGTGAAGACTCCAATAAATCACAATGAAATGTCCAAGTGACTATTTAGCATAAGTTTATTTTCGTACAGGTTGTTTCTGAAATGTATAGATACTTATTTATGTATTCTTAATGTGTTCTAGCTGTTTGTTAACTTTCAACGATGCTGGTATCGTTAAGAAATGGACTTTTATTGTAGTTGAAGTATTTTCGTAAGAGTTAATTTGCTAAAATTAAGATATTGAAGAAAGTTATTCATGGAATGGTATACCTTTTTACTAATTTTATTTATTTAGTATTTTGAATAAAATTATATTTTTATTTGAATTTGCGTTTTTATAATATTAGTATTGTTATTTTGTATATTACAATGATGATAGAATTGTTGCTGCCAAACTGTTAGTTTCATTACCATTGATGTATGTTCTATCAATGTCTTGACTATGAATGGTGTTTTTAATAGTGTCATAGATAAAAAATTCATTCATTCTGTATATTTTCATCTTACAACCCTACAGCTACTTGTTATGCTCAAATTCAACCCTGTTAATTTAGGATATATGTTATATTTACATCGGAAAACAGAATTTTTCAGTTGCTATTCGCCAAAAATACATCACAGGTTCTAATAGGCGCATATTAATGATTATACTCATGATAATAGTCACGTGTCTCTGTGGTAATATACTCTAGATCATTGATGATTTAGATATGCTTTCTCTTCCATGTAATATTTTTAAATCACTAATCACTTATCCTAAAATGCATTAAAATAAGACGTCTGAGGTGGGTAGGACATGTAATAACGATGAAACAAAATGACCTAGCTAGAAAAACGCTACCTGGTAGACCCATTGGTCAGGAAAGAAGAGGAAGACCCAGAAAAAGGTGCCTTGATATCATCGAAAGATAAATGTGGGAGGAAGGCGATGGATAGGGACGACTGGAGAGGAATTCTGGAGGAGTCTAAGGCCTACGCAGGGATGGAAAGCCAGTATGATGATGATACTTTTCTGGTTTTTATAATCTTCCATTCCCAGTTCTTTTAGTACTGTAACATTTACATTTCTGGATATTTGTATGTAAAGCATTCTCTTGCTATACAGATATATTATGTCTAACCTTACGAATTCGTTATATGGCCATAATTTTTGGATTTTATTTTCTTTGTTGACGGGATTTTCAACATTCTTACTATCGTAGTTCCCAGTGCTTTCTTTATACTATTATAATGGGAGAAATAAAACATTCTTTGGTAGGCGACTTTACAAGTTTACTCTGTTAGTCTGAGGTAATACTATTAAAACATGTCATAATCTCTATACAACGATTTTGTTATATGACCTAGAACTCAATAATCTAAAGGTACTACGATATTTTATTCAATGTGCATCCAAAGTCCTCCCTCTCAACGATTTTCTGAACCACAACATTTAAATCATTATAGTTGCGGTAAGAAATTTAGTAGAACGCTCAGATTTGTAGGTTTGGATAGTTCTGCTTTTTAAGATGTAGTGCGGCGGCTGGTTGTTCTATTTATTAAAGATTTAATTAAAAATATTAATTTTTTACTTAGTATATAGGTACCGTTACAGCAGGACATATCGCGTGTGCTAAAATTATACAAAATAATACATTATTTGATTGATATACGGTTGAATGCTCGAATAAATTAACTTTGATCAAATGAAAGGCAGATATCAAGAAAAGTTTTATTAATTTATTCTTGCCCAAGTACTTTCGCTTTCTAGAGCATCTTCAGGGGCAATTCGTCAATTTTGGCCCATCCAACAATTATAGAATGTCATAAACATAAAATTGTACAGTACACTACACTACACAAGGACAAACACTTTAAAATTTTTAAAATAGGAGAAGCTACATTATGGTCGGCATCACGTGCCTTTTCCTGGGACAAATCCCGCTTGTTCTTCTAATACATAAGGCAATAGAAAAGCTTTTAGTCTTTTATGTATTACATGAAGTTGAATCTTGCTTGCATGGGATATTAGGGTTACCTTTCTGTAGTTGCTGCAATCTAGCGGAGTTCCATTTCTGAATATAGGGACTTTGACAATATTTTCTCCACACCTCTCTATGTCTCTCTAGTTCTTCGCATTCTTCATTTATATGTTTATTTTTATCATCCCTACATGCTATTTTAATTTCTCTATTTAACCTTGCTAATTCGTTTTTGTTGCTGTCGTTTTGATATATGAGAGATTTGATTATCCTTCGCTTTTCGAGAAGTTGAAGAGTTCTGTCTGCCATCCAGTATTTTCTCTCGATGATCTTTTTTTCGGTTTTAGTTATTTCTACAGAGGTTTCTATGGCGTTTCTGAAACCTTTCCACATTTCTTCTCGGTTGTCTTGTGTGTTCAACATACTAGTTTCCTTTAATGCATCTCTAAATGTCGTATAAATTAAGGTAAATAATATGGTATGTTTTATGAAAATCGCTAAATTTTTGTTATCTTGTTCTACAAATGCATATTGCAACAATTCGTGTATTTATATTAATCGACCTTCAAATAAAAATAAATTAAATATTGGTAATTGATGCTGCCAAAATCTACCCAAGCCCGTTGAAGTTACGTCTTCTCCGTGGATTGAGCGGCTCTCAGGGTCCAAGGGCAAAGTGTCTACCTTTCTACTGCTGTTCTGTTCTTAGTGGCGAACTCATGCACTAATGACTACAGACACTTTAATTCTGAATAGCACTATAACAGGGGATTTGAAAATGGACTTTTTGAAATTTGAAAATCATTTTTTGAAATTGTATAACTTATGCCACTTTCATTTTCACTGGCTCAGTTGACCTGTTTAATTGTTTTTTGTAAAAGGGACTCCCAAATTATAATTCTTCCACATATTTTCTACACTGTCGTCATTGAAAATTGGAGAGGAGAGGCCAGAATTTCACAAAAATCGTGGAAACGTGCGGTTTAAAATAATTTTACAAAATGGCTCCCAAAAGTTTATTGATTTTAGTTTTGAAGTTTAGAAAATAGTTGAGGAGAGACTTATGAGATATCAATTACTAAGATACTTACAGCAGAGCTGTTTATGTGGTAGTTACTATCTCAACTATTGCATTCAAGGTGTCTTATTCATAGATATATTACATATACGTATCTTAATTGAACAATGATCAATATTTTTATAGTTTATTTTAATTAATCCTTTTAATCGGTTATATGTATATTTATATAAGTTTGTAAATCATCATTTGCCTTAATAAATCAATTTTCCTTTGTGTTCACTGTAGATCATCTTTTTTATTGTGTAATTTAGTCAATATCCCAATGAAGTTAATGTTAGCCAAATATATTTTTGTAAAATATGTTGAAAACTAGCAAACATGAAATCTACTAACTTTCATTTCAGAAAAAACCTTTTTATTTTCTATAAGTAACACTTTTGTATATTTTTGTAGTTTTTGTTATAATCTATTGTGAAAATAAGGCACGTACCTTGTTCAATCCAAAGATTTAGATAATTTGCAAAAAATGTATCACCTTGTAACAATAAAAACAAGAGTAACACTTAAATAATCGTTAAAAACTGTATAGAAATAAATGAACAACAAAATTAAATAAAATGCTTATATAATTCTAGGTATATGTTAGCAGTAAAAATCAAAATATTTTGTGAAACCACTGACATTTGTCAAAGCGTTTTATTAGATTTAAGTTAAAAAATAGGTTGGGCGATTTTTTTTGCAAATTAACTGCTATTTTATCGGCACTTTTACATATATATTTTTTTTTTTTTTTTTTGAGGTAAAGATTGTCTACCTCTTTATAATAGTGAAATACATGTATCCTCTTTGTACGATATTGTTAAAGATATCCTTAAAACCAGATTTTTTGCATTATAACATTCCAAATGTCATGTAGTTCATATATATGAAACATCAAGTACGTAAAAATATATAATTTAATAAAGAATTTAACTTAATATTTCTAGAGGAAATTGCTATTTTATTATACCAACCTTAGGGCACTTAATTAACTTATTTTCCTGAAATGAATACTCCAGTTAAAGGTCATCTCATTTTCAATTCCTAATATTATCAATCAAACAGTGCTTAAATGTGACAGATTGTATATACACCAGATCATAAGACTGACTAAAGTCATTTCCCAGTATCTGAATTATGTTAACTTAGTACCCATTCATTTCTGATAATCTTCAATGCTGTGGAAAATGAAATCCAAAAATACTTCACGTTTTGATATGTTATTTGATTGCCTTAGGTTTAGGTAATGGAAGTTCCAGATTTGCTGGATATTTTTGTGGACAGTCAACTAGCAAACCCTCTTTATTTGAGTAAGCCCAAGAAAGTGTTAAATCGTATAAATATACAGGTTCAATTGACCTATTGTTTATAATAGTTTCAACTGTCGAGCAATGACTACTGTAAATATCTTCTGATGAGTTTGGAGGAATGTATACTCCACCCAAGATAACTGATACATATAACGTCAGATTTGATTTGTTTAGCTTTAAAATGGTTTCGTAACAAAATTAAAACTCCTCCACCCTGCTTAGTGCTAGTTCTAAGTTACGATCCAATTTGAAAATGTGGTAGCCAGAGTTTAACAATTCTTGATTTAGCCAAGTTTCTACCAGAATGATTACATCATAGTTACATTGGAAAATAGAGTTAGAAGTTCATCTAGTCGAGTATGTATTCCTCCAAGATTCTGATAATGTATAGACATAGTGTCAATTGCGTTTGGTTTTTTGAAGAAGGTTATTTAGCAACTGTCGGAAGTCCATTCGTAAGTTTAATAGTCAGTCAGATTCTCCATTCGGTTCTTGAGCACCCAACTCTGTCAAAATAGTTTTAAACTGTTGAAGTTTCGTTTTATCATAGCCTATTTTTATGCCAGCCTCATTGCGATTGCGCTTATTAATTGCGTTTTTGTTTCCACATTAGTTGTACCACCAACACACTGCTGCTGCTGTTAATAGCTCCTCCTTTAATTACTTGATTTGCTCCTCTAAAGTTATAGTAAAGGGATTACATCACTCTCATTCGTCGACTCCATCTGATTAACATCTTCGACTTATTTACACTCATTTTCCAAAAAATTTGAATCTTAAGACATTACTCTATCTAAATCAGTAAACGAGGACTACGAACGACTTCCTTTAAGATCAGATCTGGTCCTCAGAAATTTAAAATAAATATAGGTTGGTCTACTACATACCTCTTTTGTGATATCGCTTACTTTGAAAGAAGAACGTCATATGTCAAAATGTGACAATTTTCAGAAATGGCCAATTAAAAATCGATAAATTTTATAAATATAAAACCTTACCCATCTCTACGAACAGGCTAATATTTTGGCTTTGGTGTGCACTAGCCTGTTAAAGACCATAGTCAATCCAATACTCCCTGAAACCTATTTCAGGTCATACAATTTTTTAGTTGTGACGTTCTTCTTAAAAAAATGTGTTAATAATAATTACATGCTTCAAGATAATTCACTTCTTTATTAAAATTATTTTATTACAAATGTATATTTGTCACAAAAATAAGAACTAAGACGCCATAATGTAAAAACTAAAAAATACTGTCATTCTGCAGTAAATTATCGATAAAAAAATACTTTCTTCATTTGAAAATTACTTCTTTAACTTTCCATTCATTACTTCATTATTTTTTACAGAAGTCAACATGAATGAATATACCCCTACATCCTCGAGATATTTTTATAATCTGAAATAATTCCAACTGGATTTGTCTTTTTTAAGAATGTCATATAGAAGTCGAAATAATTTGTAGATAGTTTGGTTCCAAAATTCAAAAAGATTTAATAATTTTCTATTAATATAGATAATAATAATATTGCGACTCTATACGAGTGTTCTTCACAGAAAGTACTGTAATATCTTATTGTATTTCTGAGAAAGGATGCCATATCTCAAAATAGTACATTCTTCTTTAAATAAAATATGATAATACTGTTTTTTAAATACCGACATAACTCAAAAAGAGCAGTATTCCACAAATGAAGTAGGTCTACTAAGCACGACATCTCTTCCATCTGACGGCCATAGGCGTAAATGAATTTTATGACGTTATCGCACAAAAAATATAGAATATTTGAAATCGATTCATTAATATAGACCATTTTTCTATTTTTTTTAAACATTTTTTTTGAGATATGAGTGTCTTCCTCCAACTTTCATATAGAATTCAATTGGTTAGGATGGTAGATCCTAGTAAGATCTAGTAAGTTCTAGTAAGATAAAGGTTGTTCAGTCTCTCTTCTTCTCGACTTCAGAAGATTCATAATTCATCTATTTGAACTTTTAAATGCTTTAAAATACTTGTGACGAAGTTCAAGTTCTCCAAGGGCCACGTTGTCTCCTGGAGCAAAGAATATAGATTCATATGCGTATAATGTTCTTTACTTGGAGTGTGTAGTAATCTGTTGTGTATTGTGTGTTGCATATGTATTGTGTATAATTGTAGATGATGTCTGCGACTTCAATAGTCGCAGAAGTCAACAACAAGAACATAACTACAATAGCGGATTAAAGAAAGTCGGAGACATCATCTACAATTATCAATGACGTATAATATATAGACTCGGTGAACGCTTTAAAAAGTGTCCAAAACATGAATACCTTTGTTATTGTTTATTGTTTTGATACGAAGATGCACGAAGTTCATGATTTCTTACGAAGCATCACGAAGTTGATCTTGTGTTTGAAAACATCATGGACGTACTCCATTTTGTGTGACAAGCAAATTTTATTTTAAATTGTTGATAGTTATTTACTTACTATTTTAGTAAAATGCCATACTATTTTATTAAAATAATTATTTCTCTTATATACGGGAACAAAAAGAAATCATAAATATTTAATTTTAATTAAAAAAATAATTATTGTCATTAACATATAAATGAGCACGCCGCTGTTTTGATAAACATACCTTCAACCTTGAGCCGAGATCTTTCGGACACTCGATTCTATAGCGAGAATGGGGGACTGCGTAGTCTATATATTATACGTCATTGACAATTATACACAATACATATGCAACACACAATACACAAACAAATAAATC